AGGGAGGTGGGAGGGGGGACCGGGATGGGGAATACATGTAAATCCATGGCTAATTCATTTCAATGTATGACAAAAACCACTGCAATGATGTAAAGTAATTAGCCTCCAACTAATAAAAATAAATGGAAAAAAAAAAAAAAAACTTGTCACAACAAAATCTTGGGAGAAGTAAATCAGAATAACATGCCCTAAATGCAAGGCCTGCCATATGGCATACTGAACGAGTTCCACCACCAGTGCAGAAAAATTCTGCTTGGGGAGAAAGGGAAAGACAAACTGCTTACAGTAAAGGTCCTTGATACCATTCAGAGTCTTTGTAGCTCACTCTAAGCCATGACTATTTCCAAGGCAACCATTCTGAAAACCCACGTTAAGTGGATTTCAGGAGTATCACTCACAATCTGCGCCTTTCCTGAAACATGAATGCGAGACTGCTGTGTTTAAATGGAGTTTGCTGGGGTTTTGGCTGTGTATTTTTAGAAACAGGAATCAGAAAACAGTATAGTGTGTAAGAGGTTATACATTAGGCAGCTTCACAGGTGGCGCTAGTGGTAAAGAATCTGCCTGCCAGAGCAGGAGACACAAGAGATGCAGGATATTGGGAAGATCCCCTGGAAAAGGAAATGGCACCGCACTCCAGTATTCTTGCTTGGAAAATCCCATGGACAGAGGAGCCTGGTGGGCTACAGTCCATGGGGTCACAAAGAGTCAGACGTGGCTGAACACACACACTTCAAGGCAGCTTCACGTCTAAACATACACTAACAATCCTCATTAACTATTATTTTTTTACATTTGTATTTACCTTTTATTTACCATTTCTTATTTCTCTCATTTATCTTTTAATTAGAATTACCATCTTAGGTCTTTTCATTTATTTTTAATTTTAAGATAGTTGCTTTAAAATATTGTGTTGTTTTCTGCCATATAACAATGTGAATCAGTATAACTAAATATATATATATACACAGACACACATACATATATCCCCTCCCTTTTAATCCTCCCTCCCACTCACTCCTCTAGGTCATCACAGAGTGCCAGGCTTGGTTCCCTGTGTTATATAGCATCTTCCCACTAGCCATCTATTTGAGAAAGTGGCGTTGATATATACACTACCATGTAAAATACATGTAAAATTTACTACCATGTAAAGTAGAATCCTCACTAGTTAGTAGTCAGAGACCCCGAGACATTTGAGCGCCACTGGCAGGGAGAAGGAGGGAAGCCACTGGGGGAGAAGACTTTGGCAAGGCAAAAAGAAGGCAGAGTACATGGCAGCGTCATCCATCAGAAGGGGCACTTAGTCACGTCATTGTTCATCTTTCAGAATTAAACTAATATCCCCCTTATCCCCATAAAAGACAGGTGTGTGCAAAGGTATAAAGTAACTTCTTCTCTTCAGATTATAAATAAAGTAACCTCTTCTGTTCACCTTAGGAACATAGATAGAAACTTCACCTTTACACCCAAGTTAAGCAACACTGCGAATGTAGAACCTAGGACATGGGATGCACATGAAATTACAAGGGTGGTTTTACTTTAACTTCATTTTTAAATAATGCAATGTATGTGGAATAAATGACATAATTAGAAACACTCTGCTCAGTTCTCTCTCTATATATATATATTTGTTTTTAATGCTGTGGTTTTTTCAGTTTGAATCTGATTTTCTTAAGTTACATGGACAACACATGTCTACTGCCACTGACACAAGAGCTGGGGGTTCTGGTCCAAACAAACCATTGGAAGGACACTATGAGAAAATATCAATTAATGCTTATGCATTTAATTTAATCTGCCAACTTCATTTAATTTCCCGAAATTGTAAAGAGAAGGGTTAACATTTATTTAAATTGAAAAAGACCAAAATGCTAATGATAAGTATTAATGATGGGCTGAGGGGAATTAGTGATAGGATTAGAAAAGATTTTTCTTTATTTCCTAAAGTCTCTGTAATGGAATCATAAGACTTAATTTAAAATTTTAAAGAAATCAAATAAGTGATAAAAGAACACATTCTCATTGAAAAAAAATTAAATAGCACAGAGATACATCATGTAAGGCAGAAACCCTCTTCCCCACCATGAAACATCTTTTGTTAAAGGTAAATACTTTAATAGTAATTTTATTTTTACAAAAATACTACTAGAGTTTTATATTGAGAATTGGTGACCTTTGTAAACTTAGAGCAAGATAATTTATTTATACTATTTGATATTATTCAGTTGTTTTTGCCTATTAATCAACCATCTCCAAATTAAATTCTTTCGTACAGTAAAACATCACAGTTCTAAATATTTTATTTATATAGATTTAAAATTCATAATCAAAATACAACCCCCAAACATATTCTATTTCAATACAATATTAATGTAGCAGAGAAGTAACTAAAACTACTAGGAAATTAACAGTAGAACATTAGAATGATTCAGTGTCAAAATTTTTTAAAATCCCTTTTGTTCTCTGTTACAATGGGTGTAATTATTTTCCTAGATAGCAATGAAGATTCCATATATATATCAACAGGCATCTTACTTGCTTTTAAGATAAAGTTAATATGCCTAATAAAGAAGATAACTTTAAAAAAATAGGAGAAGGGGAAGCCATTAGCATAGTTTTTTATTTTTAAGGTTTGATTAGTGTTGGTGGTTTGTTTTGGGGAAAGAGACAATCAGAAGTAATTAGAAGTAGAACTAGAGAGGGGAAGCTATAAGTGTAGTGGATGACTAGCATTATGGATTTAGCACATAGACTTACTCGAGAATGCAAGAAATAGTTCCAATAAGCTGTGATGATGTTAAGTGAACATACTTCTGGTGGGTGATAAATGTTAACATCTATAAGGCCCGGTATTTAAATATTCTGGTCATGGGCAGTAAATGAAAGTTCATTATGTGAAAAAGTATTTGCTAAAAATATTTTAAAACATATGAAACCAGAGCATCATTTAGCCTTTGGCAGTCACTTTCAAGTTAATAATCTATTTACAAAAAAAAAAAAATACTTTCAGTAACAATATATGTTTTACATATTCTGACACGTCTAGGATAAATGTTTTTAGTTGCCAATAACTCAACCTCTAAATGTTATTTCTGTAATTCAGGTTTTAGAAAAATAAATTATTTTGACTATAGGGAAATGAACAGGAATTATTCTTCTCTTTTATTTTGGGAAAGTAATGAAACAGAATTTCACAAATGTTACAGAATGATGTCTGGTGATATAAGCCATGCTACTTACACTAACAGCTCATTGTGGCCTTGCCCATCTTAGAGAGTCCTCCTTTGTCTGCCGATTCTGAATCTGTTCTGTCTTTATATCCTAAGGAGGTATTCTTACCTTTTCTTCTAGAACATTATTTGTTAAATCATTCCTCCTGACCCATAGTCAGACTAAAAATTCTCTCTCTACTGCTTTTTTATTTTTCTGTGAATCTAGGACAATGGAGAGGTAGTATGAAAGTGACTTTAATTCTATTAGTTCTTAATCAGTTTGTCTCTTACATATACATATTTATTATACTACTGCTTAATTCTCTCATCCCCATCAAGGAAAGCATGCATGACAGAAGACAAACGTTCTTTCTTGATTCAAACATCTCTGGCATCCTCTGTGCATCCTAGAAAAGACCCTACCATTTACATGAACATATGCTTTTATTTATTTATTTATTTATTTTGAATATATGCTTTTAAAAACAATTACATCCACCTGTATCAATGGAGTAGCAAAAAGTAAAAATATATCTAACAACCCAGAGTTCACTGCAGAATAGACAAGAGTAAATTCTAGGCTGCGACTGACCTGGTTGTAACTGTTTAGTGGCCTTCCTGTGCCACTGTCCATCGAATCCCTGTGTGGCCAAATCCTGGGTCAGGGGCTGTCCTCCCTGGAGCGGACACCCTCCTGGCACTGCTGGGGCCCGTCCGCTGCAGTCCTGGGCTCACCAGCCTTCAGCGAGGATGCTTCTTTCTTTGCCAGCTGTCCCTCTAGGGTTTTAGCCTCAGCAGCAGTTTTCATCTCTGGGTCACATTACACTGAAATCCAACCCTTTACTTCTTCAGGGAAGAGGCAGAGGTTGGGGGGGGGGTGTGGAGGGCGACATGACCCCCAGGGTGACCCTCAGCAGTAATTCCTCACCGATTCCAGATGGCTGGGCCTCAGCTCCATCAAGCTGGGCCACCAGATCAACATCAAAAACGAAAGCAAAGACAGAGGTGGCCTTGGCTAGAGGCCTGGCTCACGGCTCACACGGAGCAGATCTCCAGCCATGCGGGCTGCACGTTTCTCACATCAGCAAAGCCTCCCAGCACTGACAGGAAACTTCCCTGTGGATATTTTCACCAAATCCCTGAAATGAATTTTCGATAATAAAAGGGGCATGGGCGGTTATACCTACGAGCAGGCTGGACAGAGGGAAATAACACCTAACAGTGTGGTTATCTTTAGAAATAAAAGAAACAACTGTTCATAAGACATCATATTATGTCTACCTGATATACTGAAAAATTTAACTAGCTCTAATGTTTACTGTTCACCAGAGTGTGGTGGAATTGGTACATTTGTCATGGGAAGCCTTACTGAGATCGGCTGGGACCTGGGACCCTTTACTCTAGTTCTGTAATGCTTGCACCTAGACCAATGTCTCTCGGGGCTACAAAATACAAAGAAAATAAAGAGGCTAAAAGTAACTGTGTGCATGCCACACTTAGGGAAAATTATGAACAAAAAGACACAGAAAGACCAAAAAAGCAACTCCACTTCTGAAGAGCAGGGAGTAAAAGCAGTGTACTGTGCATGCCCCTTGTACACACCACCAGGGAAGCAATGGGCAAAATAAACTAAGCCACCCCTCCAGTCTGGCCCCTGGATACACCCCCACCTTCACCCCATGAAAAGGACCAGCTCTCTCCTCACCCCTTGCCCCTCTCACCCCAGGGAGCAGAGCAAGCAAGGGAAACTCTTGTCTGTTCTTACCACTCCCCCCATTGCAGCAGGGGTCCCATAAAGCCTTGCCTGAACTTCTTGTCTGGCCTCTGATCAATTTCTGTTGATTAAGGAAGCCAAGAACCCCAGTTGGTATCAACAGCAACACTGTGAGTAGGTCCATGGCCACCATCTGACAGATGAGGGAGGCCAGGATGAAGACACTCACAGTGGCAGGCTGGCAAGCAGCAGGGGCTAGAGTGATGGAGCAGGGCTCTGTGGCCCTGAGGCCCACAGAAACCCCACGACTTTCCTTTCCACTGTCATACTTGAGACAGGCTGCATGCTTTGTCCCCCTAGAGTTCCTGATTTCGTCCTGATGCCCAATCTAAGGAGGTGGGTCTCTGGGAAGTGACAGGCTCCTGAAGGTAGAGCTGGTATCGTGGGATTAGTGCCCTCCTAGAAGAGACAGAGAGCTCAATCCTCTCTCCCACACAAGGACACAAAGAGATGATGGCATCTACAACCAGGAGGTGGGTCCTCGCCGAGAACAGAGAACAGAGCCTGCCAACACCTCATCCTGGACTTTCTGACCCCTGGAGTGAGAAAGATATGTCTGTTGTTTAAGGCACCCAGCCTTTGGCAACTTTATAGCAGCCTGAGCCAACTAAAGTAGTGGTAGCGTTAGTCACTCAGTCGTATCCAACTCTTTGCGACCCCATGGACTGCAGCCCGCCAGGCTCCTCTGTCCACGGAATTCTCCAGGCAAGAATACTGGAGTGGGTAGCCATTCCCTTCTCCAAGGGATCTTCCTGACCCAGGTGTCAAACCCAGGTCTTCTGCATTGCAGGCAAATTCTTTATCATCTGAGCCAGCTAGCCCAGTAGGACCTCAGGATATTTCAAAATGAGGAACTACCATGCAGCCATTAAAACCGATTACAAGGGAATCAAAAGAAAAGTAAAAAAAAAAAAAAGTTATATGATACTAAGCTAAAAGAGTAGAATAAGGAGCAGACAGGAAAAAAATGGGCAAATATATAACATAGAAAACAGGTTGGCATCATGTGAAAATACACAGTGAAAGTGAAAGAGTTTATTCCAGGCTTATAGATGATGTCTTAATAAAATGCTTGGGGGAAAAAGCGAGATTTCTAATAAGCACAGGCTATTATTTTTGTTTATAAAAATTTAGTCTATATTTTCCAAAACCTTTTCCTTTTTCTCATCAAGTTTGTACTGATTTTTAAATTAAGAAAAGGAAAATGATAACAAAGACAAAATGAATACAACACAAAGTTAACTACTTTCAGTCTGATTTAATGAACTAGTTCTTCGATGGTATTATTTAAACTAAAGCAGCTCTTGGGTACACCATGTCCTGACACAGTTGCTCTGGGAATAAAGAGAATAAGAACATTTTCTGGGACAATAATTGGCAAAGGTGTCATGGACTTTAAAAGAGAAAATAAAATGATCTGTGATAACATTTAGAAGATCAGTAATTGATTATTAAGAACTGCCAGATGCTATAAGAAATACTCTACGTACATCCACCTTTCTCCTAACACCCATGCAAGATAGGGGTTCTTACCACCACTTTTCACCAGGTGACCAGTGCTCTGAGTGATTAGAGAAAGCGCCTCCACCCAGCTTCTAAGAGCAGATAGGGACTTGAACCCTTGGCCCTGTCATCAAAGTCCGAATCCTCACTTCACAGGCTGAGAGAACCCAACAAAACGTGGGGCAATTGTTCAGAACATAATGTGCTGGGGAAACATGTGGGAACTAAAAGGTAAGATGATTGTCTTGCTGTTATTCTTAAGTCACTTAGTTGTGTCAGACTCTTTGTGACCTCATGGACTGCAGCACACCAGGGTTCCCTGTCCTCCAGTATCTCCCTGAGTTTGCTGAAACTCATGTCCACAGAGTCAGCGATATCATCCAACCATGTCATCCTCTGTTGCCCCCTTCTCCTCCCGCCCTCAATCTTTCCCAGCATCACACTCTTTTCCAATGATTCAGCTCTTCACATCAGGTGGCCAAAGTACTCGAGCTTCAGCTTCAGCATCAGTCCTTCCAATGAATATTCAGGGTTGATTTCCTTAAGGATTGACTGGTTTGATCTCTTTGTTGTTCAAGGGACTCTCAAGAGTCTTCTTCAACACCACAGTTCAAAAGCATCAATTTTTTCACACTCAGCCTTCTTCAGTCCAACTCTCACATCCATCCATACTACTGGAAAAGCCATAGCTTTGACTAGATGGAACATTGTCAACAAAGAGATGTCTCTGCTTTGTAAAACACTGTCTAGGTGTCTCATAACTTTACTTCCAAGGAACAAGCATCGTTTAATTTCATGGCTGCAGTCACCGTCCACAGTGACTTTGGAGCCAAAGAAAATAAAATCTACCACTGTTTTCATTTTTCCCCCATCTAATTGCCATGAAGTGATAGGACCAGATGCCATGATCTTTGTTCTTCGAATGTTGATATTTAATCCAGCTTTTTACTCTCCTCTTTCAACTTCATCAAGAAGCTCAATAGTTCCTCTTCACTTTCTGTCATTAGGGTGGTGTCATCTGCATATCCAAGGTTGTTGATATTTCCCCTGGCTATTTTGATTCCAGCTTGTGATTCATCCATCCTGGTATTTTGCATGATATACTCCACATAGAAATTAAATAAACAGTGTGACAACATATAGTCTGATGAACTCCTTTTTCAATTTTGAACCAGTCCATTGTCCCATGTCCAGTACTAATTATTGTTTCTTGAGCTGCAAACAGGTTTCTCCAGAGGCAGGTAAGGTTGTCTGGCATTCCCATCTCTTTAAGAATATTCCACAGTTTGTCATGATCCACACAAACAATCTCTTTGGTGTAGTCAGTGAAGCAGAAGTAGATTTGTTCTGGAGTTCCCTTGCTTTCTTCATGAGCCAATGAATGCTGGCAATTTGATCTCTGGTTCCTCTGCCTTTTCTAGACTCAGCTTCTACATCTGGAAGTTCTCTGCTCAGGTACAGCTGAAGCCTAGCTTGGAGAATTTTGAGCATCACCTTGCTAGCATGTTAAATGAGCTCAATTGTAAGGTAATTTGAACATTCTTTGGCATTGCCTTTCTTTGGGATTGTAATGAAAACCACTATTTTCCAGTCCTGTGGCTACTGCTGAATTATCCAAATTTGCTGACATACTGAGCACAGGATTTTAACAGCATCATCTTTGAAGATTTTAAACAGTGGAGCTAGAATTCCATCACCTCCATTAGCTTTGTTCGTAGCAATGCTTCTGAAGGCCCACTTGACTTCACACCCCAGAATGTCTGGCTCCAGGTGAGTGACCACACCATCATGGTTTGTTGTTCATTTACTCAGCTGTGTCTGACTCTTTTCAATCCCATGAACTGAAGCATGCCAGGCTTCCCTGTCCTGTCCTTTACCATCTCCCAGAGCTTGCTCAAACTCATGTCCATCAAGTCGGTGATGCCATCCAACCATCTCATCCTCTGTTGTCCCTTTCCTCTACTTCCTTCAATCTTTCCCAGCATCAGGGTCCTATCTAATGACTCAGCTCTTCACATCAGGTGGCCAGGTATTGGAGCTTCACCTTCAGCATCAGTCCTTCCAATGAATATTCAGGATTGATTTCCTTTAGGATTGACTGGTTTAATCTCCTTGATGTCCAAGGGGCTCTCAAGAGTCTTCTCCAACACCACAGTTCAAAAGCATTTAGTGCTTTTGCTCTAAAGCAATTTTTTAGTGCTCAGCCTTTTGTGATCCAACTCTCACATCCATATACGACTACTGGAAAAACTGTAGGTCTGACTATACGGACCTTTGTTGGAAAAGTAATGTCTCTGCTTTTTAATATGCTGTCTAGCTTTGTCATAGCTTTTCATCCAAGGAGCAAGAGTCTTTCAATTTCATGGCTGCAGTCACCATCTGCAGTGATTTTGGAGCCAAACAAAATAAAGTCTCACTGTTTCCCTTGTTTTCCCATCTAGTTGCCATGAAATGATGGTATTGGATGCCATGATCTTAGTTTTTTGAACGTTGAGTTTTAAGCCAGCTTTTTTACTCTCCTCTTTCACTTCTATCAAGAGGCTCTTTAGTTCCTCTTCGCATTCTGCCATAAGGGTGGTGTCATCTGCATATCTGAGGTTATTGATATTTCTCCCGGCAATCTTGATTCTAGTTTGTGACTGATCCAGCCCGGTATTTCTCATGATGCACTCTGCATATAAGTTAAATAAGTAGGGTCACAATATACAGCCTTGATATACTCCTTTCCCAATTTGGAACCAGTCCACTGTTTCATGTCTGGTTCTAACTGTTACTTCTTGACCTGCATATGTGTTTCTCGGGAGGCAGATCAGGTGGTCTGGTACTCCCATCTCTTGAATTTTCCCCGGTTTGTTGTGATCCACACAGTCAAAGGCTTTGGCATAGTCAACAAAGCAGAAGTAGATATTTTTCTGGAACTCTCTTGCTTTTTCTATGATCCAATGAATTTGGCAATTTGGTCTCTGGTTCCTCTGCCTTTTCTAAATCCAGCTTGGACATCTGGAAGTTCTCGATTCACGTACATTTGAAGCCTCGCTTGAAGAATTTTGAGCATTACTTTGCTAACATGTGAGATGAGTGCAATTGTGCAGTAGTTTGAACATTCTTTGGCACTGCCCTTCTTTGGGATTGGAATGAAAACTGACTTTTTCCAGTCCGGTGGCCACTGTTGAGCTTTTCAAGTTTGCTGGCATACTGAGCGCAGCACTTTGACACCATCATCCTTTAGGATTTGAAATAGCTTAGCTAGAATTCCATCTCCTCCACTAATTCTGTTTGTAGCAATGCTTCCTAAGGCCCACTTGACTTTACACTCC